TAACTTTTTATCATTCTTTTGTTCTATCTACTGTTTATCATTCTGTCTATCATTCTTTTTATTATCCATCCATCCATACATTTATCCATCCATCCATCCATCCAATTTATTGTTCAATCTATTATGTCTGATGCTATCTGTCTGTGCATCCGTCCTTCCATCCATCCATCCACCCATCCATCCATCCATCCATCCATCCATCCATCCATCCATCTATCTACAATACATCCACAAAAAGTTCATAGCGCTTCACTTTTTCCACATTTGTTTATGTTACAGCCTTATTCCAAAATGGATTAAATTCATTAATTTCCTCAACATTCTACACACAATACCCCATAATGGCAACGTGAAAGAAGATTTGTTAAAATTGTTGCAAATTTATTAAAAATAAAAAACCTGAAAAATCACATGTACAGAAGTAAATTGAGTCCAGATCAAAAACTCTCTTGTCTGATGAGACTAAAATTAAACTTTTTGGTGTGAATGCCAGTCGTTACGTTTGGAGAAAACCAGGCACCGCTCTTTACCAGGCTAATATCATCCCTACAGTGAAGCATGGTGGTGGCAGCATCATGCTGTGGGGATGTTTTTCAGCAGCAGGAACTGGAGTACTAGTCAGGATAAAGGTAAAGATGAATGCAGCAATGTACAGAGACATCCTGAATGAAAACCTGCTTCAGAGTGCTCTTGACCTCAGACTGGGGCGACGGTTCATCTTCCAGCAGGACAATGATCCAAAGCACACCCCCAAAATATCAATGGAGTGTGAATGTCCCTGAGTGGCCCAGCCAGAGCCCAGACCTAAATCCTATTGAACATCTCTGAAGAGATCTGAAAATGGTTGTACACCGTTGCTTTTTATCCAACCTGATAGAGCTTGAGAGGTACTGTAAAGTGGATTAGGCAAACGTTCCCAGAGACAGGTGTGCCAAGCTTGTGGCATCATATTCAAAAAGGCGCATCAACAAAGTATTAAGCAAAGGCTGTGAATACTTCTGTACATGTGATTTTTCAGGTTTTTTATTTTGAATAAATTTGCAACAATTTCAAAAACTCTTTTTTCACATTCTTATTATGGGGGATTTTGTGTCGAATTTTGAGGAAATAAATGAATTTAATCCATTTTGGAATAAGGCTGTAACATCAAAAATGTGGAAAAAGTGAAGCGCTATGAATACTTTCCGGATGCACTGTGTATATCCATCCATGTCAAATTGTTCTATCTATTAAAATGTATTGATTATATATCACAAGGATTTAATATAACAGGAAAACATGCAAATGGCTTTACATTACAGTTAACACATGCCAATCAGAATTTCCTTATTAAAACACTATTGTTAAGCTCCATCTATGCACCGTTTTTGTTTTTGGAGGTGCTTCTTTAAATGTGTTAATGAAACTTTCTTTATCTTGAAGATTCCAGCGAATATGTTTCTGCGAGTGGACAGATGTTGGGCCACACCAAACAATGACCCTTACAGCAACATCCAATACACCTTCATCAAGGACAGGTCTGTGACATAATCCACATTACTAATGGAGCCATGATGATAGTATATATATGGTAACTTCATTGACATTGATTACTATAAATACATTCATTCATTTATTTATTTTCCTTCGGCTTAGTCCATTATTTATCAGGGGTCGCCACAGCGAAATGAACCGCCTATTATAAATACAGTTGAGGGCAAAATTTTTAGCCCTCCTCTGAAATTTTAATTCTTTTTTAAATATTTCCCAAGTGATGATTACCGGATCGAGATTCTTTCCAATACATATTTAAATGCTTAAGAACTTTTTAGTCTCTGCCATGATGACAGTACTATTTGTACTAGTTTGCAAGATGCTATTATTTAGCTTAAATTGCAATTAAAAGACTTAACTATGTTAATTAGGCTAACTGGCCAATTTATGCTAATTAGCTAAGTCATTGGATAACAGTGGTTTGTTCTGTAGCCAATCAAAAAAAAAAGATTTCTTGTAATAAGTCAAGCTCTGACACCCGGGAAGAGCTCGGAGTAGAGGCGCTGCTCCTCCACACCGAGAGAAGTCAGCTGAGGTGGCTCGGGCATCATTCCTCCTGGACGCCTACCTAGGAAGGTGTTCCAGGCATGTCCCAACGGGAGGAGGCTTTGGGGAAGGACACGCTAGAGCAGGGGTTTTCAAACTGGGGGCCGCAGCCCCCTGGGGGGCCGCCAGATGGCGCTAGGGGAGCCGCAAAAATTTTTAGATAAGGGGTAATCAATGGGCCCACATGGTTGAATTTTGTGTCCCGCATCATTCTGAAGGTTAATATATTTTTTATAATAATTTGAGCTCAAAAGTACTGCAAAAATTAAGCTTTATGCTTATGTCATTTAAATGCAGTTGACACTTTCGTGAAACGGGAAAAGAAGCGCAGCGGCCCGCCTCTGTGCACGGGGACTTTTATTGAATAAGCGCTTCTGGCCGGGCACTTCCTGTGATTTTTGGCGCTTGTCTGCTGCACGTGACGGCGTTTACCTTTCACTTACGCTTACCTCTTTTACGCTAAACAACTAAATGAATGCTCAGGTCTATTTACTGACAATATATTTACTGACAATATTTCAGTTAAAATACATGATCAATAAGAACATTATCGGAGGCTGAAAGCACTTCCCTGTATATGGCTTGCGTTCCTAAGTAATCGATCAGCTGGGTGCTGCGGAGCGCGCGCCTCTCTGCGCAGGCTTCACTCATGGGGAACAAATAGCATTTTAAAGACACGGCACAACATTGCACCTCGTCCAAAGTGCGACAGGCTTTACACTTTGCATTGTACAAATATCAGACGGTCCTCTTTGCAGCATGGCAAACAAACATATTAAAATTGTAAAGCAAAAAGTGCTGCAATAACAATGAATGGAGCTGTCATCACATCAGCGAGTGCTCAGAGTTTCACCCCTGTTACACTAATAACAGCTGGATGAGCTCTGCAGTGGACCTCTTACATTGGTTCATAACTGGATGATTAAAAAAACTCAATTGTATACACCCTGAGTAAAACCACTATAGCCTATAAAAATTATAATGTATCTATTTGTGTTATGCTATAGGGCTAATTAATTATTAAAAATTAAAATGTATTAGTGCTCTGTATTTAGCGGAGCTCAACATATCTGATCAAATTTTAATACTCTGAATATAAATGCATTTTTTTTAAGATGTTCCACTTTTTCCCATATTTATTTGTGTAAATAATTTAAATGTAATGTTCAGTATTATTAATAGAACACACTTGTATGAACATTTTAAAGTCAGCAAAGCTTCTAAAATTAAGCAAAGTAAAATTTGTGGCTTTTTGAACTTGAATACCCAATTCTAGATTGCATTTAGGAAATTATTTTTTATCAGTGTAAGTCAGGATTGTCGACCTGAGTAAACTATGATGTGCACAAAAAAAGGAATAAAAATAAACAAAACACACTGAACCACTACAGCGTCCATTGTAGTATTGCTAGTTACAACAGTTCAGTTAACTGTTAACAGGCTAATGAATGACAAAACTCTTTAAAACTTTAAAGCTTTAAATCTTTAGATACATTTAGACTCTCAGCTGTAAGGGTAAATACAGAAGAGTCTAGCTGTGCATAGGCAGAAAAAAAAGCATAAAAATGGCATAAAAAACTGTGTAAACGTGATGACTCGAACACAAAAGATGGCTTGATGGAATCCAGTGAGAGCAGACCACAATAAACACTGCGCATGAAGATTTGATCAATAGATTGAAGTTTGCATTTGCTATTTACATGGCGGACTTTGTAAGTGGAAAAACTGAAAGCTTAACTAGCGAGAAAACAGTTAAACAGAGCATTTGTTCTAAAACTGTTTCAAAATTCAGTTCTAATTTCCAGCAAACTAATAATGAACAATAATAATGAAGTGTGGTTATGTCCAAACATTATACAAAAGCAAGTTGTCATGAATAGACAAAAAAAGCCTCCCGAGATAAGGTCATGGAGGCAGTGGTTTTTATATTTATAGTAAATAAGCCTTTTTGTAATATTTTAATCCTTTAATTTTTTTCATTTGTAAAGATTTGTAAAGCCAACAGGTTTTGTAACAATCACACAGTATGAACTATCAAAGACGCGATCTGAGAGAATCGCAGATGAGTTGCCAATGCCTGTGAGATATTTGGCATGCTAAACATCTGGAGCTGTCAGCGGTTCAAATCATGCTGTGTGAAATGAGTTTTGACTGAAAATAACATCAGCGATCGCCTACAGCCAATGAGAGAGCAGCATCCACTAGACTAGTGTGAGTGTGTGTGTGTGTGTGTGTGTGTGTGTGTGTGTGTGTGTGTGTGTGTGTGTGTGTGTGTGTGTGTGTGTGTGTGTGTGTGTGTGTGTGTGTGTGTGTGTGTGTGTGTGTGTGTGTGTACAGGTACCTGCAGGCCAGCTGGAGGTTAGAGGAGAAGTTAAAAGTGCTCCTTTTTAATATATTTGGAACCAAGAAATAAAGGAAAAAACTAGTGATAATTTGGCAGGAGCACCCGTGTCTGTTTGACGTGTAATGTGAGCAATATCACAACCGGGTCAAAAGAGAAAGTTTACATTTACATTTAGTCATTTAGCAGACGCTTTTATCCTATAAGCGACTTACAAATGAGGACAAGGAAGCAATTTACACAACTATAAGAGCAACAATGAATAAGTGCTGTAGGCAAGTTTCAGGTCTGTAAAGAAAGTGTAAGAAGCAAACCATTAGAATTTTTTTTTTCTTTGATGAGAGTTGATGAGAAATTGCTAATTCCCTTCAAACCCAGGTGAGCAAATATGTACATTTTATACCCTATTAAAGGCTTCTTTCTCGTTATGTAGTTAACAACAAAAGATATACGACGTGTTTTTGGTTGTGAGACGTAGTTTGGACGAAGTTGTCGGCAATTCTTCCTATTATAAAGACATGCAATGTGAAAGCCCCTGTCGCCGATCCATCTTGCACTGTAAACAAAGCAGCCACAAAACGCTAGCCCAGATTGTCAGGCAGTGTGAAAACAGCTGAGACACGACTACTTTGAAAATCATGCAGTCTGAACTCAGCATTAAGCAATGCTTAAGCGAAGCGCACAACTGACGTGCTCTGCACTGGTATTTAGACCTGCTTTCAGCTGGTATATTGAGCGGTCTATTTTAGTGCCTCAAAATAGCAATCGTCTTAACACACCTCTTTTCCAGACCAGAACATCCATGAGTCCACAAAGTGGTGCAAATGGATTTGCTATTTAAACAAGGTGGCGGAAGACAGGAAAATTCAGCTTGCGTTGGTCTGAAAATAGCAACACGTCATGGAAACACGTCTTGCAGGATAGGGCCCTAAAACTAAAACTGATAATATAATAATAATAATACTGAATCAACATTTGGGATTTTAGAAATGACCAAAACAACATGTCGGATGTTTTATAATGTGGTCGGTCTGCTGTTTGTCTATTAATGTTGTCCCATTACATTCATTTTTATCAGAAAGCCTCATTTGTTTTATTTCAGCTAGAATAAAAGCAGTGTTTAATTTTTTAAACCATTTTAAGGTCTACAGAACACACAACTGTTATGACTTGCCTAATTACTCTAACTTGCCTTATTAACTTAATTAAGCCTTTAAATTGCACTTTAGGCTGAAATCTAGTGTCTTGAAAAATATCTAGTCAAATATTCTGTGCTGTCATCATGGCAAAGATTAAAGTTTATTAGAAATGAGTTATTAAAACTATTATGATTAGAAATGTGTTGAAAAAAATCTTCTTTCCATTAAACAAAAATTGAGGAAAAAATAAACAGGGCTAATAATCCAGGGGGCTAATAATTCTGACTTCAACTGTAGCTAATGACAAACATTTCTCTCTGCATCAGCTGTCCAGTGTTGTGGAATGACCAGACACTGGCCGTGATGAAGAACGGGCAAGGACCAGAAGCTCTGTTCAGGATACAAATGTTCAAGTTTGTTGGCAGCTCCTACACGGATGTGTTCCTGCACTGCAATGTCCAGATTTGTCACAATACAGGAGGAGCGTGTCAACCTGTAAGTCACCTATCACACCTACAATACATTCATTCATTCACTTTCCTTAGGCTTAGACCCTTATTTATCAGGGGTCGCCACAGTGGAATGAATCGCCAATTATTCCAGCATATGTTTAACGCTGTGGATGCTCTTCCAGCTGCAACCCAGTACTGGCAAACACCCATACACTCACCCATTCACAATTGGCCAATTTTGTTTTCCCAATTCGCCTATAGCAAATATCTTTGGACTGTGGGGGAAACCGGATCATCCGGAGGAAACCCTCGCAAACACGGGGAAAACATGCAAACTCCACACAGAAACTCCAACTAGTCCAGCTGGGACTCGAACCAGCGACCTGCTTGCTGTGTGGCAACAGTGCTAACTACTGTGCCACCGTGCCACCCACTTTGAATCACCAGTATGCATCAGTATGAATAAACTGATTTGTTTGTAAGGTTTTCGTCTTAACTATGAACTCCTGGTACTTTACAGAACTGCTCTGCTGATGATGCATCGGCACGCACACGCAGAGATGTTGGATCATCTCATACTGTCTCGTATGGACCAATCAGAAGGCTCAAAGATAACATGGAGAATAATGGTCTGAGTAAGTGTTATAAAGTCTCACCATAGTGTTCTCCATGCTATTTTAAATGAACACTCTTCCATTTAAGTCACCTAGAGTTAAACACTTGTGTTTTAAGTACAGATGAAATCAAAACTAACCATATGGATTTTGCTATCTCACATTGCTAGTTTTGTGGTGAACAATTCATCTGTGCATGTCATTAAGAAAATGAAATAGTATGCCCTGTAATCTTTAATTGAAATCTGTAAATGCACTTTGCTGTTTGTTTTCAGTTCAATTCTCAGATTACATCAGTCTGAGGTATTGGGTGGGGCTAACATACTTAACCACACCCCTAAACTGTCAGTTTTGACTGCAAACAGAAATGGTGAGGAGGAGGAGTCTGCTAGGTTGTAATAACTCTCCACAAGCCACTGAGCTTTCTGAATAAAATGCCTACTTTACTACATCCAATCAGCTTGCAAGTGAACAAAACAAGCCACGCCCACTGTTTTCTCATTTAATATTCCATTTCTCTTGGAGCTTCGTCACGATACCAAAAAAATGGTCGCAGCTTCTAGTTCATGGGGACTTTAACATTTTTAAATGCATTTAGCTAATCTCTATGTCTAACCGTTCGTTCACACTGAAAGCGGCGAGAGCGTCCAAGGTCGCTCTGGCCGCCCTGGCGACAACGCTGTCTGCCTTCAGCTCCGGCAGCGAGAGCGTCAAAACTCGCTACATTGATCTCTTATTTAAAGGAGCTGTTGCAGCATATCAGTTACATTCCTGCATAAAACATGTTTCTAGCGTGAAAATGTTGCGCATTTCTTATCAAATTCATACAACAATGGAAGATCAAGTTGCGTGTGGTGCGGCTTTGCTCTATTTATCCAATATGTGTCCATATGTCTGAAATATCCTGAAGCAGCAGTAACGTTACTGTTTTGTACTGTCACATCGCGTGAGATTCCTGCTTTTTTAAGATAAATTTATATAACATTCATGAACATCAGTAACTCGCCAGTAACTTATTTAATGTATGTTCCTGTAAGAAAACATTGAAAATAATTGAAAATCCGGCGACCGCAATAATCAAACCCTTGGGAACAACTGTGGTACCATAAAGTTGACTTAATTTCAACTCTCCTCGACGCTCACGCCGGCGAAGACGCGCCGCGCTGCTCCTCGCCGCTTATCGCCACCGGCTCTCATTGAAAATGAATGACTTCCGGCTACTTTGACGCTCTCGCCGCTTTCGGTGTGAACGTACGGTAACGGTGGCAGTTTCAGCTTAGCTTAAAAGGTCACAATACGCCTCCTGCCTCAGCAGGGTGTTTTCACACCTCTAGTTTTAAAAAGTCTGAAAAGTGGGTCTGAAAGTGAGTCCAGCTTTGTTTAGGTGGGAGTGTTGCATAAAAATAGGAGTTTCAGTACGAGCATTCGCTGATTGTCACAGATGCAAAACAACACACAGACGCAGGGGAGAAAGACAGTGCCGATGTTTACATGGACATCAGTAATCGAATTATTTGCCAAGTTCTTAATTTGTGGACTTTAACTGCAGTTTGGCACTTTCACTTTCATTCAGGAGCATTTCCTGCATGCCCTCCATGACAAACGAGATATTGGATGTGAAGAACTGCTGAAAGAGTGTAGTTTTAATGGAATGTTTGATATTATTGCATGGCGTATAAGAAAAAAAAAACCCTCAGCATTTCTCTGTAACTTAGATGCACTCGGTAGGTAGTGTCAGTTGTGTGTGTATAAACTATCCTGTCATAAAATGCGGCGAAAATCCTACACGACAGTGATAGTTTGATTGCATTTACAGCAGATCTTTCAGTCCATAATATTGTAGTGTCATTAATGCACTGTAAACTTAGTAACTAAATAATTAGGCAAAGGTCTGTCTTTAAACACTGAAAGAAAACTGCTGATGATATGAACTAACTTTGCCTCTAAATAAACAAACAAAGACACTGATCACACACTTACCAAATCTGTAGCGACAGGACAATCAACACCAACTGGAGCCGCGTCTTTATTAAAAGGAGACGAGCAGCAAATCGGGATTTCACCATTTCCAGATGAGAAAAGCTCTCGGGTTTAAAATGTTCCTTACAAATGTATTTCTGCCACATGTTACATGCATTGTAATCCACACATGAGTCTGGCTGAGGTCTCATAGAGCGAAAATGAAAACAAAACCTTCGTTGCAGCACATTTATAAACACAACACTGACGACCTGTGTCTCCAAACAATTCTTCTTCTCCCACTGTTCGCCAACACAACGTGGCTTCTCTCTGCCGTCTGAACATTGTAACAGGTAAAAACAGTCTTGGAATCAATCATGCCTATTAATAAAGTTGCATCTCATTCACAATGGAGCGGCTGATTGGTTTGAGCCAAGTCTTTCTCATGAATTATTGCTGCTCACTCAAACGCGTCACGTTGTACTCACCAGTGCAGACAGCCAATCTACACGCTGGAATAACCACAAGAATCTAATCGCCATTACACAGCTTTTAAAATTTGTTTCAAAGTGGAAGAATGAATTTGCTTGAAATAACGCAAAAACAACCAAAAGGGTGAAACATATATATGACTGTCAACAGCTCAAATAAATGTGACCCTTTCATGACCCTTTAAAGCAGTGGTCACCAAACTTGTTCCTGGAGGTCCAGTGTCCAGCAGATTTTAGATCCAGCCCTAATCAAACACACCTGAACAAGCTAATCAAGTTCTTACTAGGTATACTTGAAACATCCAGGCAGGTGTGTTGAGGCAAGTTGGAGCTAAACCCTGTAGGGACACCGGCCCTCCAGGACCGAGATTGATGACCCCTGCTTTAAAGCTAAAAGAAGAAGGTCTTTGGGGGCTTACGCCCCTGATCTTTTAGAATATGTTACACAAAAAAAGGTTGTATAACATTTATTTTGTTATCGAAGTACTTAAAATTACCACATACATCACGCGCATTTCACTTAACGCATCGATTGTGTCAGGTATTTAAATAAACAGCTGTTCGGGCAGGTGAGAGTGGGACTATTGTTAAAAAATCCTGTCACTACACTGTCGTCATTCATTCATTATTTTGAGGAGCAAAAGCCGATGAGGTAATAATAGAACGGTTTCGCGAAACTAAATAGTTCTAACTACTGATGAAGCTTAATATTTGTTTCACAGTATAAAATGTGTGTAGTTTGGAGTGAAATAAAATAACTGTAATTAATAAAATGTGCATCATATTAATGTAAATACATGTGAATTATCAAAAAAAAACGTAAATTGTACTAGTTTTCTAAATATGATATTACAGACATATTTATCTTGATACAATATAGCCCACTTAGACCATTTTTAGACCGTTTATCAAGGTGCATTTGAACTTCTTTTGGGGGTAAGTTGTGGATGGGGGGTTGGGTGGAGGGGTGGGGGGCGTAGGGTCACTTTCGACCCTAGCAATGCCCCTGCGCAGTGCCTAAAAATAAACCAATAAGGTAACATTGCTGCATAATATTAATGTGCAGACATGGTACGGCAACAAAGTTTGTTGATTATTAGACCAGAATAGTTTCTAGCTATACATACTTAAGCATATTTCATAGTCTGTCGGTTATAGTACATGATAAAATACAAAAGTGTCAAGCTTTAAATAGGAAAATGATCAAAACCCTTTTTTAAAATCACTTTAGCGAGGTGCTAATGGTCTAATTTGATTCAGTGGTGCTAAGCTAAGCTAAAAGTGCTAAAGAATTTGGAGTGTTTGTTAATAATCTCTATATCTCTTCCAGATTCACAAATCCCACCAGTGGAAACCTTTGTGTTAGGTGGTCTGCTGTTTATACTGATTGTCATCACAGGAGTGTTTGGTAAACTGTGGCTACAGAGCAGAAACTCGTATCCGGCCCAGGAGGCCCAGCTCACCCTCTCCAACATCCACCATCTCTCAGAGGTGGCCAGCTAACTTGACATCAACATCAGATATGTTCGGTCTGAAAGATTTTTCTGCTAACCTGTAGTGCATTTTATTGTAGTTTTTGTCATTTATTGTGAAATAAATAAGTAAATAAAGTTTTTTGAGTTCCTAACAACCTGTTTGCTAAAAATGAAGTACTTGTCTGACTTTGAAATGTAATTGAACACAAAATCTCAAGATTGTATGCATTTTTTAAAGTGTACAAATATTTATTTTAGTTCAGTGTCATTTCTGGATGTACTGAAACAAGTGCTGCTCACTAAATTAGACAGGTTTTTTACATCTACTGACACCAACGGGTTTTTGTATGAGAATGTAAGTGTTAGGAGAAATTTAAATATTAATATTTGAAATGTTTATAAAAACCAGTAGTAGTAGTAAGTGTGTGAATTGTAAAATAAAAATTTTAAAAGCAGGACATTGCTACGGTTTCTTGGTATTAGTGGCACCATATGATGGTAAATAAAAAAAATAAAATAAACAACACTTTGTTGGTACCTAAACTCTCCGGCCGCTTTATAAGGTACACCTTACTAGAACCAGGTTGAATCCACTTTTGCCTTAAGAACTACCTTAATCTTTTGTGGCATCGATTCAACAAGGCACTGGAAATATTCCTCAGAGATTTTGCTCCATATTGACATGATAGCATCACGCAGTTGCTGCAGATTTGTCGGCTGCACATCCATGATGCCAATATCCCGTTCCACCAATCTAAAGGTGCTCTATTGGATTTAGATCTGGTGACTGTGTAGGGGCATTTGAGTAAAGTGAACTCATTGTCATGTTTAAGAAATCAGTCTGAGATGATTCACGCTTTGTGACATGGTGTGTTGTCCTGCTGGAAGTATAGCCATCATAAGATACTGTGGTCATAAAGGGATGTCCACATGGTTACCAACAATACTCAGGTAGGCTGTGGCATTGACACGATGCTCAACTGGTATTAATAGAAAAAAGTGTGCCAAGAAAATATCCCCCACACCATTACACCACCACCAGCAGCCTAAACTGTTGATACAAAACAGGATGGATCCATGCTCTCATGTTGTTGACGTCAAATCCTGAACCTACAATCCAAATGTCCCAGCAGAAATTGAGACTCATTAGACCAGGTAATGTTTCTCCAATCTTCTATTGTCCAATTTTAGTGAGCCTGGGCCAATTGTAGCCTCAGTTCCCTGTTCTTAGCTGACAGGAGTGGCACCCGATGTGGTCTTCTGCTGCTGTAGCCTATCCGCCTCAAGGTTGGACATGTGCATTTAGAGATACCTTGGTCGTAACAATAGGTTATTTTAGTTACTGTTGCCTTTCTATCAGCTGGAACCAGTCTGGCCAGGCCCGGATTGGCTAATCGGGAGGACCGGAAAAATTCCCGGTGGGCCGGTCCGTTTTTTGGCCGCGAGGGCCGGTGTCCCTAGCTCCAGAATCTGTTGCTCTCAGCAGTCACACTTTTTAAGTTAATTTATTTATTTACTTGACCACAGTCTTCTTATTCATTATTTTACCGCAGCTCTGCTCTTTTTATATATAACCAGCCTGCAGGTAAATGATGATATAACTCAGATGTGTCAATTCTCAACATGGAGCTGTAGTGGGCTAGTGGTTAGCAAGTTAAATTACGACACCGCTAACCCATGAATGATCCTCGTCTTGAGTATGTTTTTTTTTTTTTCATTTTTATTGTTAAGACATAAAATACTGTTAGGGTTGTTGAACATTTAAAGTTCTAAATCAGCTGTTTTTTCAACAAAAAGACGTGATAGTGTAATTAGAAACTGAATTGGAAATGACCTTATTTTAATATAGTTAGTCGTGAACTGAGGTGGGCCGGTCTGAGGCTTGAAACTCCAGGGCTGAAAAAGAGTCCCACTCCGGCCCTGAGTCTGGCCATTCTCCTCTGACCTCTGGCATCAACACAGCATTTGCGCCCACAGAACTGACGCTCACTGGATATTTTCTCTGTTTCAGACCACTCTCTGTAAACCCTAGAGATGGTTGTGTGAAAATCCAAGTAGATCAGCAGTTTCTGAAATACTCTGACCAGCTCTGGCACTTACAACCATACCACCCCTGCTGAAAAATCCAGCTTAAACCAGCCTAGGCTGGTTGGCTGGTTTTAGCTGGTCGACCAGGCTGGTTATAGAGGGGTTTTGGCCACTTCCAGGCTGGTTTCCAGCCATTTCCAGCCTGGTCTTAGCTGGTCAGGCTGGGAGATGACCAGCTAAAACCAGCTTGACCAGCCTAGACAAGCTGGGAGTCAAGCCAAAACCAGCTATATCCAGCTTAAACCAGGCTGGTCAAGCTGGTTTTAGTTGGATTTGGCAGGTCATTTTCCAGCCTGACCAGCTAAGACCAGGCTGGAAATGGCTGGAAACCCCTTTAAAACCAGGCTGGTAAACCAGCTAAAACCAGCCAACCAACCTAGGCTGGTTTCAGCTGGGTTTTTCTGCAGGGACGTTCAAAGTCACTTTCTTTCTCATTCTGATGCTCAGTTTGAACAGCAGCAGATTATCTTGATCATGTCTACTTTTCTAAATGCATTGAGATGCTACTATGTGATTGGCTGTTCAGTAATGTGCGTTAACAAGTAGCTGGTCAGGTGTACCTAATAAAGTGGCCGGTGAGTAAAGACAGCATGGTGTGTGTGTGTCTCTCTCTCTTTAGTCTCCGCCCATTAATGGGCCTCAGTTCAGTGTATCAGTACAGTGACACACAGATTTCTACAGAAACACAGACAGCATTGAAAACATAATCACTGTCATCATTGTTCTAGATTAAATATATATTAATTATTGATTACAGAAGTTCCTGTCCACATTTAACCACTGAAGACTCGTCACAGATAGACGGTAAGATACTTTTATGTGTGTTTTGCCTAGTTTTATCACCGGCTCTTATCAAATACACCCGGTATTTGATAATATATCAAAATATTTATTTGACCTTTCTCCAACATGATATATGTTCGTCAGACTATATTGTTTATATATTTGTATATGTGTCGTTTATTATTTTATCCTGCTCTTCGCGGCTAGCTTGCTAATGCTAAATGCTTTGTGTTCGTGCCTAACGTTATAACGAATTAAAACACAAACCTGGCACACTATGAGCATACATATGTTTGCGGATGGTTACTTGGGGTTCAATAATTGATTATCTGCCGTTATTTGATCGTGATACTGTCATGTTCATGCTGTCAATCGTTTTACTTCAGTTAGAAAGAACAACAAAAGCTGCATCAGGTTACATTTTTAGGAGTTTGACTGGATTGAGTGCACCGGTGAAATGCGTTGGCTTCATGTCAAATTTAGGAAACATTTCACGTTTAGTGTAAGATTATATTTAGGATCATATCTTGTTCATGATTATTAGGATCATCGTAGGACGTTTACGAGCATATCATGTTTTGGATGATAGGAGTCGTGCCATATTTGGGATCAAGTCGTTATTATGATCAGTAGGATCTACGGGTTGTAGACCCTTGAAGAGTAAAGCAGCTGTCAGCCATCAATTTTGGCAAACTTTGTAATTAACATTAAAATAAATACTTGAATTGATACGGTTTTACTATTTATCTGTTTTATCAATGTAATTTACACTTAATGCACATCACATACAGAAATGGCATGGGATGATGTGAATAATACGTTTGTTAATAAAGTATTTTTATTAAAAAGGCCAAAAATAAATCTAAAAAAATGAAAGAAATAGTAGTTTTATAATATTTTATAAATATATAATATTTTATAATATTGAAATTCTACGGAAGTATCATATTTGGAGAATAAAATATGACATGAATATGATATGATATATGACATGAATATGATATGATATATGACTTGAATATCATATGAAGTTTCCAATCTGTATGATTTTAAATGTTTTTTATGTTTTAATATAAGCTCACAAAGATTTGATTTGTTTTATAGAAAATACAGTAAAGCTGTGAGATTGGGTTATATTGCAGTATTTAATAACTGTGTTTTATTGAATGTAGTATAACCTTGTACTTTTGTGGTTTAAAGCTGAATTTTAAGCATGAATAATCTTCAGTGTTGCATAATCCTTTAAATATTCAAACATTTGTTGTTGTTGTTGTTGTTGTTGTTGTCATTGTCAGTTTGGAAAACTTATACAACAATATCAAAAGCACCATTAAAAATGTATTTACTGTTCTTCAACATAATAAATTGTTTAAGAGTAAAAGTAAATGCATTTATAATGCAAAAAGGAAATAATAAATAATTCTAAAAGTAAAAGTATCACAGTTTCCACAATTCTATGAAGCAAGTAAAAAAATCAGCACTTATAAGAATCATTATTAGTGATTTTGTACCAATAATTACATGATCACAGTAGAAGAGCAAGTCATATTATAATGGTTTATGAAGAATCACTGCTGTCTGGAGTAAGGATGATTATCACAGTAATGAGTTTGAAACTACATTCAACAAGTCATGTAGTAAATGTTATTAACTCTATTAAAGTTTATACATTATGAATCGTTGTATATTATTAACCTTTTTATTATTATTATTATTATTATAAATGAACCTATTAAATTCCATACAGGACTGAGTTGCACTCCATAGTTTTTGTAGAGCATGGCTAAAAATCATCAGCTAAATATCATCTGCTCAACTTTGAACCCCACTGAAACCCACACTAATCCTTGAGTTCTTGCTGACATGCCTGACTGTCATGTTTTGGTTCTTACTGACACACCATATACATGCTGCATGTTGTAATCACTTATAAGTGATTGCTTGTGCAACTATGCCATATTGCATATGAACATTAAATTCCAAACACCTATGTGTTGAAAACATCCTCAGATGTGTTTTGCTGTTTCAAAAGAAGCCATCACAAGACATGTAGAAGGCAGACACTCTGGCATTGTACACAAACATTTCACAATGTTTATGCCCAGCTGGTATTACTAGGGTTATGTTGAAAGTCAGCTTGATAATTCGAAGCTTACACCACAGCATGACTGACCCCCCGCCTTTGCCCAACTGACTCAGACAGTTTGCATTTAGGTCATGCCGGCTGGATCTAACTGCACATGTCCAGCCAAGCCCTGTCATGTTGGAGAGAAGCTTCTTGAATGACTCTGCAAGATCCAAATGGTGGTGTTTCTTTTGAGTGGAAGCCATGATTGATTCCTGTAACATACCGTTCACAAACAAGGGGTCATGTTCCATCTTAGTCTTCGAAGAACTGGCGTGACCGTGCAACTCAAGTAGAGTTGTGAAATGGCAATAAAACAGCTTAGTAATTTGGTAAACATACTGCAAGAGAGGGCTGTGTGGTCTGATTTATACTTATCCCTTTTAGGGAATGGCGGGACTCTCCACATGAATGGAAGAGATTTAAGCCATGCAATGTTGTAGACAGACACCCCACATGTGTGTCTACAATAGAAAATATAGGTCTAATGATCTGTTTTCTTTTTTTTCCACAGTGGGAAACATCTTTTAGTTAATTGACTATTAACTGCAATGGAGGAGCTTCATATCCATTGCCTGAAATGTGTCAACCGGCGATGTATGATAAGACCTGAAGCTAGCGTTTCCTGTGACCTCATGGGTTGCCCTCTGGTATGTGGGGCAGTTTTCCACTCATGCAAACTGAATGAACACCGCTTACTGTGTCCGTACGAAAGAGTCCCGTGTCTGAACCGCGGATTTGGATGTCCATTTACCCTTGCCAGGGTCAAAATGGCACAGCATCTTGAGACATGCCCAGCCAGCGTTGTGTGTTGCACAATGGAATGGAACCGATGGCCAGTAAGTTACGCAGATCGCAAATCCTATGAGAACCTGAGCAAAGAAGTTTGTGATGTGGAGCAGCTCGATATGGCTTTGGCCCTTCAGGATCAGCGTATGTTGCTGGAGTCACTTAAAGTGGCGACCACCGTGACAAAAGCTCTGGAAGAACAAAATCTGGACAATTCCAGCCCACAAGAGTCAGATCGTGAAAATGATTTGGTGATTGATGATTTGAATGAAGTGGTTGAGGGAACATATAATGAACCTTTCCAGGATTCAGTGGAAGATAGAAGCTTCAATGCCAATTTAGATATTCTCAATAGTCCAAGTGATATTGACTTGATTGTGGACCATATCAGTGGTGAGGAACAGAATGAAGCTTGCAGTAGTGTCAGAGATGTGAATGGAGACTTAAGGAATGACACGACAAAGGAAAGTGACACTGATTCGGATTCTGATCTGGGAGCAGTAGGTGGAGCTGACTGTGCTTTCCCAGTGGACCTTGAGGAAGGAGATGATTGGTTGGAGACCAGCGGATGCAGTGAATCTTCTGAAGAGGAAGGTGAACTGACTGATGGGATAGAACTCAATGGGCTTCATAATGAAGTGATTGGTGACAACCACCAGGTCAGACTTGAAAGCGTCAATCGTTCCTCAAACATTAGTCAGGCTTTACCTGATCATTCCATACCTGTTCCAGAAGTGGCACAGTTGCCCCAACGATCTCTTCCATTGCCTATCCCACTGCCTAACCTGATGCACAACAATCTTCTGCACCCTTTGCCTTTTAGATATGAGGACCGATGGCTGGAGCGCAAGTTGGAGAATCTCCAGCTACTGCGAAGCATGGGCTTGTTTACAATCAATGGGCGAAGGACTCTGTTTTCAGATCCTTATTTTTTTAAATCCAAAATGGAGGACAAAGCAGTAGACACGTCAGACCTTGATGTGGCAGATGATCCAATGGGTCTCCACGGCATTGACCTGATCACTGCTGCCCTGCTCTTCTGTTTGGGGGACTCACCTGGAGGTAGGGGCATCTCGGACAGTCGCTTTGTAGATGGATATCGCATAGACTTTGGTACACAGACCTTCTCCCTCCCTTCTGCCATATTGGCTACCAGCACCATGGTAGGCGACATAGCCTCAGCATCAGCCTGTGACCATGCAAGTCCGCAGCTGTCCAACCCAAGTCCATTTCACACACTCAGGTTAGACCTCGTTCTGGAGTGTGTGGCTCGCTATCAAACTAAACAGCGCTCGATGTTCACTTTCGTGTGTGGACAGCTGTTTCGCAGGGATGAATTCTCCTCTCATTTCAAGAACGTCCATGGGGACATCCATGCTGGTCTTAATGGGTGGATGGAGCAAAGGTGCCCTTTGGCGTATTACGGCTGCACCTACTCACAAAGAAGGTTCTGTCCATCAGTACAAGGTTTCAGAATTATTCATGACAGACACTTAGGCTCTTTTGGAGTACAACCTGGGTTAGCAGAAGGTGAACCTTTATCCAAAATCAACATTTGTCAATCTAAGTCCCACTGTGACCACCTTAGCGACTTGCCCTTTGAGTTACTTCAGCACATTGCAAGCTTCTTGGATGGCTTCAGCCTTTGTCAACTCTCTCGAGTGTCTCGCACTATGAGGGATGTGTGTGCCAGTTTACTTCAATCCCGTGGCATGGTGGTCCTGATCTGGGAAAAGATAAAGCAAGCTGATGGAAACTCATCCTGGCAGATACAAGACAAGGTAAATCAGAGAGTATTCATCTTTTCTGTTCAGATACCCTCATTCACTATTCCCAACATTAGTTCACTAATATAGTTCACTTAAAGGAGTGAATGAAAGCGAGAGTGATTTGGAGCACCAGAAGGGATGCCTTTTGTTTGTGCTTTGCTGGTTGATAAATTTTCAACTACTTTGTCAGACCGTGTGACAGTTATTTAATAATTAGCAGGACTCGAAATTAACTTTTTTACTTGGTAGCACCGGTGCTCCCAACTTCAAAAATTTAGGAGCACCAGAAAAAATTTAGGAGCACCAGAAAAAAATTAGTAGCACCAGAAAAGATTTAGGAGCACCCTCCAAAAATGAATTGAGTACCGCTGCAAATTGTATATTAAGGGATTTTATGTATTTTAATACAACATCAATTAGGACTAACTAAAAACAGAAAGAACTATCTAACTAATGCTGAGATTACATTGTTATTCGTGTCCATTAATTCCAAAATGAATGTCGAATAATTATAAAATATTAATGATGATGAAAATGACAATAATAATAACACTGAATTACATTTCTTAACATCATGCTGTCTTAAATGTGCTTGAATGCAAGTTATCTGCTATAAAAATCTGTTATTTTATGAAAAATAATTGTATAGTTTGCATCAAACACAAATGAAGCATTGCAGTAAGAAATATATATTTTGTACTGCTGTTTATAATATGCATGTCAGTTTAATAAATAATATTTCTGCTACAAAACAAACAAAAGATTATAATAAATAATTAAATTCAAGGCTGAAAGCTGCAAAACAGTCATCAGTAACCAAATAAAAAAATAATATACACCTCAAGAAAGAATAGACATAAGAAAGTAAGTAAAGTCTCACTTCTATCACTCTTAAAAAGTTTTGGTGTCAGTTTGTGTCAATTTAAATGTTCAGTCTGAGCTGATTTTCATTTTTCTGTGTTTGTGAAAAGCAGGCGAGTCAGCCGACCCAATTTTTGAGCAGGTTGAGCAGGATTCTTGCGATGACCACCGGCGCAATACCGCTGTTTGTTATGAGCCGCAGTTTCAGTGTAAACTTAGTAAAGGCGAGCTTCTTTGGCGATGATACAGTATTAGATTTGACTTTTACCGGGCATTTGCGCTGAACACACAGTGAATGCAACGCATCGAGATTCGGGCGCCTTCTCCGAAAAGCACGTACTCGATTGATGTCAGCTGGCGGATCAATATTCACCACGTCATGATCGCTCTCATCTGCACCTCAACTTTAGGTGGGGTTTGCAAACCTGTGTGCTTTAAGTTTTCACTCTTCAGCCGTTTGCATTTCCCGTGGTCATAAAAGCTCCTTCCCTGTCATCTGACAGCGGAATACCTTGAGTGATTGACAGCTAATATATACCAATATAGCGGCAGGGAAGAGTGATTCAGCACGTTTTTAGAAAAAATCAAAACAGGTTGCACTACAACTATTATTTGCAGTCGCACTAATGCTCCCAAGTATATTATGAGGTCGCATAGATTAATTTTCGGGCGCATATGCAACCAAAATAGTCGCAATTTCGATTCCTGCTTAGCTAGCTGTCTATTACTAAACAAAGTATTTCGATTCCTGTCATGTATTCAAACATTACTTTTTATATTTAAATCTACACTGATAGGATTCTGCTCTGTTTTCCATCTTGTGGTGAGATACGGAAATTAATTTGCCACTTGAACTCTCACTGTGTATTTTGGGTATTCTATAGCTTTTGAATGTGCATGGGTACTGCACTGTTATTGCGTTGCATTATAGGATCAAGTGAGTGACCATCCAAACACCCCACTCCCCCTGTCTCAGCAGGGTGTTTTCACACCTCTAGTTAGGGAAAAAAAATCAGAAAAGTTGGTGAGTCCAGCTTTGTTTAGGTGTGAGTGGCGAAATAGGGACAGGTTTGCATGAAAAGGGGAGTTTCAGTACGAGCATGAGCTGATTTTCACAAAGGCAAAACAAACGCAGACGCAGGAAAGAAATCAGTGCCTATGTTTACATGGACAATTGTAATTGAATTATTTGGCAAATTATTAAAACATTTTCTACATGCCCCCTGTAACAATCAAGCTATTGGATGCTAGGAACTGCTGGGAGAGTGTAGTTTTAATGGAATGTTTAATACCGCATGCGATATGAGAGAAAAAAAAAACCCTCCAAATTTCTTGGTAACTTAGATGCACTCGGTAGGTAATGTCAGAAAGCCGTGTGTGTATAGACTATGCTGTCACAAAATGCAGCGAAAATCCTACTTGACGGTAGTTTGATTAAGGTGTTTACATGTTTACACTTAGAGAGCAGCATTTACAGCTGAACTTTCAGCCCATAATATTGTAGTGATATTAACATATTGTAAACTTTGCCTCTGAATAAACATAAATAAAGAACACTGATCGCACATTTACCAAATCTGTAGAGAGGACAACCAACACCAACTGGAACCGCGTCTTTTTTAAATGGAGATGAGTGGCAAATCTGCATTTCACCATTTCCAGATGTGAAAAGCTCTCGGGTAAAAAATGTTTCTTACAAACATAAGTTTGTCGCATGTTAGCAGACCACTGTAATCCCGTGAGGACTACACGCGAGTCCAACTGTACTCTCATAGCAGGGAAATGAAAACAAAATCTTCGCTGCAGCACATTTACAAACGTAACATTGATGACCCATGTCTCCAAACTATTCTTCTTTTACTTGTTATACGTTTGGCAACACAACGTGGCATCTCTCTGCCGTCTCAACATCGTAACAGGTAAAAACAGTCTACGAAGCTATATCATGCATATAAGGAACTTGCACATCATACACAACAAAGCGCGCTGATTGGTTCGAACCAAGTCTATCTCTTGAATTAATGATGAAAAATCAAAGACGTCATGTTGTACCTGTTAGTACAGACAGCCAATCTACACGCTGGAATTTACACAATGGTCAAATCACTGTGCTTCTAATTTTCTTTTCAAACTGGAAGAACGAATTTGCCGGAAATAACTTAAAAAAACAATTTTCACTTTTTTTGTGAAATATATGTGTCCTAATAGTTTTTATAGCAACATGTGACACATATATGACTGTCAACATCTCAAAAAAAGTGCTTTGGTGTTTCATAATGTTGTTTGTTGTTTGTTTTAGGTGTGGAGGTTCAGTACAGCGTTTGACACTGTGAACGAGTGGAAGTTTGCCAACATTTCCAGCATGGCCGACCACCTCAAGACATGCAAGTTTAACACAATAGCGCGGCGAGAAGAGGCAATCCCGCTCCCATGCATGAGTTTCACAAGAGAACTTACGAAAGAGGGACGCTCACTACGTTCTGTTCTTAAACCAGTGATATAGACTATAGTCGGATTTTGTTTTATAATACAACATGCCTTATGTGTTTGAGTGAGTGGTAGGATTTTTTTGTTTCAACAGTCATTAACACAAGCCTCAACTTAATAAACTACTTTTGGAAGATGTTTTTTTATGAACGATATCAACCTGTTGACGTGTTATCTACCTGTACTCATTGATGAAGGTTGTGCTGAGTTTTTTGATACAGTATATTCAGTTATATTCATTAGTTGCGATATGTAGCTTCAAAATTGAAACATTGAATTGTTAAATGGCGATGACCAAATGGAAAACCATTGTCTATTTTGGTAATGCACGAAGACACGATGGATGTGTTTCTTGTAGATCAGTGGTTCTCAACTAGATTTACTTTTGGACCTTAATTTACATGAAATCATGACCATACACTAAGCATGTCCAAACTCGGTCCTGGAGGGCTGGTGTTCTGCAACGTTTAGTTCCAACCCCAATCAGACACACCTGGGTTAGCTAATCAAGCTCTTACTAGGCTTTCTAGAAACATCTTTGCAGGTGTGTCGTGGCAAGTAGGAGCTAAAATCTGCAGGACGCTGGCGCTCCAGGACTGAGTTTTTACACCCCTGCCATACACAACACTGAGTATGACCCATATTTACTGTTGCCTTGTTCATGTTTTTTTTTTATACCTTTGGCATTTAATTTGATAGATGAATTTACTTCAAAATGCAGAGTTGGATATATTGGATATACAGCAATATAAGATACGTTTATAATTATAATAATATTCATCTAACCATCCCACCAATGCCCATCTATATGCTTAATTAGATTTGTTGGTATCACTTTATTTTGATGGTCCCTTTAATTTAAGATACTGCATCTACAAGCCAACTAATTCTCAGTAGCTTATAAGTAGACTGTTAGGTTGGGGTTATGGTAAGTGTAAATTGACATGTTCATGCAGTTTCTTATAGTCAGTTAAATATGCTGAAGGAGCAGTATCAACAGATATTAAGCAGACAGTCTAATAATAGTCAAGTGAGAAGTAATTGGCATGTGGTTCAATGCAACTTTTAGTCAATAAATTATGCAATAGGGCTGCTCGATTTTGGGAAAAATCATAATCACGATTATTCAAAATGATTATCAATTGAAGTCAAAATTATTAGCGCTCCTGAGATTTTTTTTTAAATAACTATTTCCATAATTGCGTTTAACACAGAGCAAGGAATTTTAACAGTATTTCCTTTAATATTTTTTTTTCTAGTCTTATTTGTTTTATTTTAGCTAGAATAAAAGCAGGTTTAAATATTTTGAAACCCATTTTAAGGTCAATGTTATTAGCCCCCTTAAGCAATATATTTTTGATTGTCTGCAGAAGAATCTTCTGTTATACAGTGACTTGCCTAATTACTCTAATTAAGCCTTTGAACTGCACTTTAATCTGAATGCTTTTATTTTGAAAAATATCTAGTAAAATCTTATGTGCTGTCATCATGGCAACCATAAAAGAAATCAGTAATTAGAAATGAGATATCAATACTATTATGTTCAGAAATAATTTCTGGAAAAAAAAAAATTCTTTCCATTAAACAGAAATTGGACAGGAAAAGGGTTGCTAATATTCAGGAGGGCTAATTATTCTGACTTTAACTTCATTTATACAGTCATTTTCCACCCTGCAGAGGAAAGAGAAATAAATACAATAGAATAGAAATATGAAACAAACTAAGCTTTCAGCATCTTCCCCCTAAGAAAAACACTTTAGCTACAAAAAATCTTCAGTCAAGAGCAGTGAGGGGTTTTCTCCTTGTTGTTTGGTTAATGATAAAAACAGTCTGCAGCAGGGATATTTCGCGCGGTCACTTGAATAGTTTCTCTTTCACGTCTTTTGATCCTCAACTCGTTTGTTTATTACACAAATGAGGGTTAATATGAATAATCTCCAAACACTGCAATTTGACACCTATTTGACCATTAAAGCGCTCACGTTAAGATGACTTTAGATGTCTGCGCTCCTCTGCTCGTCTCAGTGTGCGAATGAGACCGAATGCTGACCGGCCGCATGCTTCTGTGTGTGCGCACTGCACACACACACATAAGCACGCGGTCTTTCGCGCTTTTAAAAGCAACAAATATGTACAGCTGGAAAGGGGGCGGTATATGATGCAATAATCGTTTATCTCGATTCATGCTTTTTCATAATCGATTTAAAGCCGAAATCGGATTTTCGATTAATTGCACAGCCCTAGCAAAAGGGACCATCAAAATAATGCTACCGATTTGTGAATTCACATTTAGCATAGTTTTTCCCCTTCTGTCACAGAACGGACCTGCAATCCACCAGTTAAGCACCACTGATGTAGACACGCTCCTGATTTTGCACAGGTATATAAATAACAGTCTTAGGTATTTTCCTTTTTACCAGTTTGTCAACGCATAACAGATGTATCATGATTTCCAGTTGTTAGCGAAATACAACATTGTTCATGATCACTTCCAATGGTTATTCTTCTGTCTTCTGTAAAATACACATTTATGTAAATGTACTGTATCTGTGTCAATAGCTTTAACCTTCTTTGCTTTTTACAATCTTCCTGATCATAAGTCACTGCACAAAACCTGCAGGACAGGTACAAAAACTGCAGCTGTAGGGTTCACTCAATGCACATGGTGCATGTGCAGATCTACATCTCTGTTTCTCAGGGGTTAAAGCGTATGCCATTACAGATCGTTTATGTGTGAGAAACTTGATTTGAACTTGTGATTCTCTTCAACTTTTAAAGGTTAAAACAGTTTACACTTCCTGAAGAGTTCGATTTTACTGTATCTTTACAGGTGTGCAATTCCAGTGTTTGAGTTTGCTGACGTTCTGAAGGGTTGCAATATTTTTTACCTGCCAAGAAAGCAGTTTTTACCCAGCGAGATTTAATTGATTTTAATGTTTAAAAGCAGGGCCGGACTGGGACAAAAATTCAGCCCTGGCACTGTTGCCAAACCAGCCCACATTAGCACACCGACACAGCCCCATCCACGGACACGCACATTCACTATTTATTTTGGTGTGAAGATGGTAAAATAATATGACATTCTTGCCAGATTTTGATTATGTCCGGGTAACCTTGGATTGGGTCGGCCCATTTTGAAAGGAGGCGGCAGTTGCCGATTGGGCCAAATGCTTAACATTTATTATTATTATTTTTATTATCATCTCATCTTTATTATCAATTATCATCTTTATCATCTTTATTATCAATATCACATCTAGCAAGAGATAAATGGTGCCTGCACTTAAAAACAATACATACTAAAAAAAAAACTGACCGGCCCAGATTTCAAAATTGGTCCGGCCCTTCTGGCATTTGCCAGAATTGTCAGATGGCCAGTCCGCCCCTGTTTAAAAGATGTCTAACAGATTTCCAAAGATAAATGTCTTCGCAGTAATAAATGTGTGCTGTCAGTGAAAATCTAATAGAGGTCTTACAATAATCCAAAAATAGACTAGTCATCAAATAGACAGGAATGAATTGCACTATTGTTAGAGCTCTGACAGGACAGATTGTGTTTTAACCAAGACATTTATGTTTGGACGTCTTTAATAAACAAAATTGCTTGTCAGGAATTAGCTGGGATATTTTACTCTGTGTGCTTTTCTGTGAAGTATGACAGCTCTGATATTTAAGTGACAAAACTAGAGCAATTTTCAGAAACTTGGGAGTTTCTGAATAATCTATTTCTAGCATCTTTGAAAAACCAGCTTATTACTTCAGAGATTACATCAGTCGATGTCTTTTTCTGCAGTGAGGTTTTTCCCCTAAGGATCAAAATGCTTTCATATGTTGGCGTAAACTGTGTGGGAGCCATATTCTGTGTTTGAATTTATTTAAGTCTATTTACTCTATAGGTTTTCCAGCTATGTATGCATTTGCGTATGAGGGGACTCAGGGTATTCGAAGAAGAGCTGAGGACAAGTTTAGATTGGTTTGTGTTTACTATGTGGTTGCCATTTTATTTCCATTTGATCAATTCACTGTCATCTCCATTTGTAATCGAGTTTTGTGGTTTTGTATAACCCCATGCATGTTAACACCCCCTTTTTATTGTAAATAATTAAAGCGTTTGTCAATCTGGTTTAACTAACCTAAACATTTGTTTCATATGTATCATCATTTGCATTTTTTATATATTATTTAATAAAGTGTGAAGAAACCAGTGTTGCCTGTGTGCTGTTTTTATGCAGACATGCAGTGTCAAAAATGTAAAAATCATTATGTAAATTCACCATTGTGATGTTAGTCCTGTAATGAGTGGATAATGCTTTGCTTAACTGATCACTTTAAGGCATTGAAATATAAAAATCACACTCTAATGTGTAACAAGTCCACATTTATCACTAAATTACGTGATGGGGCTTTGATTTTGCAGATATGTCATGATAAAAGCTCTCTAACACTAAGTAACAATTCACACCATTTACAACAGGCTTATGACCAGCCTAAAATTAAGATATAGCACTTATAAAGTATGATCTTATTTTATATCCCTACCTAACACCTAAACCCAACTACTGCCTTATAACTATTAATAAGCTGCTAATTAGTTTGATGAAGAAAACAATGTTGGCTGTGTGCTGTTTTTGTTAAAAATGTAAAAATCATTACACAAATTCGCTATTGTGAGGTCAATCATGTAATGGGTGGATAATGCTTTGCTTAACTAATTACTTTAAAGCGTTGAAATATTAAAAGCACTGTCTAATAGGTAACAAATCCACATTTATCACTAAATTACATGATTGGGCTTGATTTTACATGGCCAGCCTAAAATTAAGATAACTATTTAGCACTTATGCTAAAATACGTATGATGTTATATTACATCCCTACACAATAACCCGACTACTATCTTAACTATTAATAAGCAGCTTAGTAGTTTGTTGAGGTGATTTCAAGAGTTTACACTTAGCTGATGATTGATAGTAAAGCTAGTTTGGCGTGCTGTCCCGGGAGAGAGCCCTGAGCTTATAAGATCCTCGAGCCCTGGGCTCCCTCCCGTTGCAAGGCGAGAGGGGAGTTTGAGCTCAGGTAGATCTCGATGACTCTCCCTCTTGCTTGTTGTAGCTAAGTGTCAGATATGGATGCTGAAAGGTGTACAC